TAAGTATATCTCAAGGGATACTCACAAAGTTGATTTTTCTTTACGTTGCCATTTGAATTTAAAAAGGATTACATATGAAAGTAATTGAATGTATGTAATGCTTATGACTATTATTTGACTTTCCTCCTCCATGACACATGTAACTAATTTGTTTTATTAACATCGTAGTTGCTTTGTATTGTTGAAATATTATAATTACTCTTTTTAAATTATAGAGATAGTATGTAGTTGAAATGTTATAATTACATAATTTAATGCTATATACTTTCAAATATTTAGACATAATGTAATCCTTTGTATTGTTAAAATATTATAATCACATTGACATTATATTTTTTAAATTATCTAGATTGTGATTGTCATTTTTATATAAAATTGAATTCATTTTAAAATCTAAATAGAGACTACGTTTTTAACATAAAACATCATCTTTGTAAACAAACACTACGTTTTTAACATAAAAAACACCGTTATTATTAGTTAACAAGAAATTGACCAAGTTAAATTTAAAATATGATAAATTGACAAAGATTGTGTTTTTAATATAAACACGTTGTCTTTAAATACATAGATTGCATTTTTAAACAAAGAAATGTCATCTTTAATACATTAAATTGACAAAATTCTAATTAACTATCAAATACTGTGTTTTTTTTTTACATAAGAACATCATCTTTGTTGTCAAAGATTGTGTTTTTAAAGACTAAAACATTATTTTTGTATAGCAAACATTTATTGAATTTAGACATGAGTCATATATGAATGACAAAAGTTGAATTAGTATAAATGATAAATTTTAAAATTTTATAAATCAAAAAAATTAAATTTGTATAAATGATAAAATTTGGACTTGTATTAATGAAAAATTTTGAACTTGTATAAATAAAAATATTTGGAGTTTTATACAAATTATATGTTGAATTTACATCAATATACAAATTTACATAAACTTAAAAGGGAAAAAAACTCAAGATCCTTAGTTCTTATTGTATAAATCTAGATATATAGTTGCACTATTTATGATACACTTCATCAAAATTTTCTTGTGTGAATTCTTCCTTTTTGATACACTAAAAAAAATTGAATAAGTGATAAATAATATGCATTTCATAATTGTATTCCACATAGAAGCATGTATTTGTACGTCAAAATTATGCAAATTTTATTTGGTGTATTCATAAAATTATTAATAACTATTTCTTTCATGAAACACATGACATAATACCCACGTTCTTGAAATTTTGATTGATGAGGAGCTTACAAATTATTGTTAGGTTGTCAAGTGTTTTTCATTAAACCCTAAATAATTGAAGAAAAATAAACTAAACCAACTTACTAGAAATGTAACCCACGTTATTTTCTTCTTTTCATTATAGATTGTCAATCCCTGAAATAATACAAAAGAAATTGTAAACATAACATTATACTCTTAAATAAACCGTAAACACAATAGAAATTATTTGACATAATTAAGATAAGTACCTTTATACTATATCTTTTAGTTCTGGTGATGGTTTCTGGTTACTTTTTTTTTTAGTAAAAAGAGTAAACCATATAGGTTACATATTCAATAACAACCAATTACCAATAACCCTTGAATAAATAGTATCAATTCAAATGTTAGAATATAATGCTTTTAACAATTCGTAAATCCGTATAAAACAATGTAAAGTAATTAACAAAATAATCATTGAACTCATAAACAGGATTATAATGTGCAAAAAAGTATTGGAATTTTCTTTTCATTGCACATACCAGCACATTCAGGTACAAAGCCTACATCATTAGATATATGACTTGGATCAATGAATCTATATGAAAAGTCATCTGTCTCTCTTTCAAATGTTTGTAAAAAAAGCTACATGATAAATATAAATCACTTATAATATTGGTATACACTATAAACAAATTAATATTTATTATATTTAAATTAATATATAAGCTAACCTCATGTGCACCAAGATTTCTACAACTGATATGTTTATCATCGAACAAAATCTAACAATCTCTTCTTGCCCAATCTATGAAGCCAATGGATAATTAAACATTTCATCTTTCGTTTTCACATTTATTAGCGATCCACCTATTAATTGATGTTTTGCATAATTAAGAAGCACATGCATACTAGATTCTGCAAGTGGAGTTTGGATAATCTCATTCTCGAAAACCTATTACATTAAAAATTTAAGTGTATTCGTATAAAGTCAAATGATAATTACTAAATAATGTAATTAATTAAGTCAAAATATGTATTACCGAAGAAAAAGATTAGTCAAAAGCTTCATCAATGAATTCATTTCCTACATTCTCGATAAATGACTGACCCATTATGTTAATTGTTATAGTTGCCAATTGTGCCTCCAATTCAGCAATTTGTTCATTTTGCTGAGCTATTATGGATAAATATTTAGTAGTCTTCGATGTGCAGGGTTTAGGTTTTTTTTTAAATAATTTGTTGAGCAAACAAAGTTCCCAACACCCCTGGCTCAGCAATTTATTCATTTTGCTGAGCTATTATGGATAAATATTTAGTAATCTTCGATGTGCAGGGTTTAGGTTTTTTTTTGAAATAATTTGTTGAGCAAACAAAGCTCCCAACACCCCTAACACAGCAAAGTCTGTCTTTATAACCAAAAGCTAAGGCCAGCATATCTATACCATTCATCAATTTAATTTCATCAAATGTGTATCTTATAGATATGCCGTCTTAAAACATAAAATGTTTATGTAAATAAATACGATATACTAACATGCCTAAATGGGGAAGTAGAAAACAAGATATATATGAACTTACCATCTTTTTAGCCATTTTTTAAGTTGCTTCATTAGTACACTCACAAGTTTTTAATGCATATGTCTTTTTTCAAACCTCCCATAATATTTTGTTACTTGTTCCAGATATTTCCTAAAACTACATAAAAATATAAGTTTGCAACTTGAATATAAATGAATTTCAAATTCTTAAAACCTAGTATATAATTTACAATAAAAAAAATACTTATATGTTTATGCTTCATATTTGCATACCTTTTTCTTGTTGCTCAATAGTTATACTTTTTTTGAGCATTTATTTTCTGTTGGACTTCTTTTATTTTTTGCGACAAATAATATCAAGAACATATGATACAAACAATTTAATAACACATAAAACAAATGCTCTATCTTTAATAATTTTATACAAAAAATATTGTTATGCATACACTGAATTCATTTGGTTGCTGAGCTAAAACAAATTTCATCTACTCTGCATCACTAGTTACATTTGAATATAAGGCTAGGGGATAAGCCAAAAGTTTAAAATTGTTAGTATTAGGTAATATATATTTCTGAGTCAATTTGCCTTTAAAATCTTTAAACTTCAGTCTAGTAGATAGCAATACAACATTTTTACACTCAGTTGATACATCAAAGCACTTTTATAAAGAATAAATTATTACATTTGAACAAGATAATGTAATTGCATTCCATAAGTAATAGCATCAACAATCAATAATATTAATTTGATTAAGATAGCCTACCATAATTGATTCCTATATATATAGTCCTTTTTCTCTGTTAGAACATTTCATCAACTGTTGTAGTTAATGGATATCATCTTCTATATTAGACATCTAATATGGCTAGTCCTCTTTGACCTACCACTTAAGATAGCAGGCCATTGGTATTGAACTCAACATGTATTTTCTCTTAGATCGTCCCTAGGTTTTTTTTTTTTTTCAAACATGATATGTAAACCAAATGTTCTTCTTCATGTTCGATTAAGGTAGACTTGTGTTTTTCAGAATCCATTATATAAACTATTCTATACAATAAATATGGAATAGGAAAAAGACAAATAAAATACAAACATTGACAAAATGACAAGAACAATATTCAAATATTATTATTTATATTGTTTTATAACATAAGAACAAAGGAGAAAATGATTTACAATAGTATAGTATATTTGAATACTATTATTTACATAATTTCATAACATAAGAACAAAAGAGAAATGTTTTACAATACTATAGTATATTCAAATACTATTATTTATATTGTTTCGTAACATAAAAACAAAGGAGACAAATTATTTGTTATGTGAAACAACGACAATGGAAATGATGGTAACAATGGAGGTAATGATAGTAATGAACGTGGCAATAGCTATGATTCCATGACGTAAGGTTTAGGATTTAAAAATATTGAGAGATGCAATAGACTTGTAAACCAATTTAAAGAAAAAAGTTTATAAAGAAACCCTAAACACTACATTTATCATTTCATAAATGTAGTGTTTGTAAAATTAACTTTTTGACATGTCAAACACTATGTTTTTAATGGCATAACTATCGTCTTTGTACATAGGCTATGTTTGTAAATGTCAAAATGTCGTGCTTGTTTACTTGTCAAATACTATGTTTCCTACTCCACAAACCTCATCTTTGATTAAAAGATTACATTTAGCAAATAGAAAACATGATGCTTGTATGTTTCTTTATAAACGAAAACGTAATGATTGGTTGTTTATTAAACACTATGTTTATTATCATAAAAACCTAGTGTTTGTTACAAACACAATGTTTATAAAACAACAATGTAGTGATTGCTGCATTTATTGTCATAGAAACATTGTGTTTGTAACAAATACTATGTTTATATAACAAAAATGTAGTGGTTGGGTCAATCAATTATTTTCTCACAAACTATGTTTATATTTTTAAAAAAAGTTGTCTTTAAATTTTATTATATATTTTTTGTTAATAATATACAACCTTATTTTAAACATAATAAAAATAATTTTTTTTATTGTTTAATAGTTCTCACAAATTTAATTTTAATAACATTAATTGATAATTAAAATGCTTACAACATGTTATTCACATGTAATAAATAATATTATAATAAAAAATTTTTATTACGTAATCTAATATTTTATAAATCATATACAAAAATTTAATATTCTCATGATGAAAGAAATTATCTATTGTTAGGAATCTCTCATTCGTTGAGAATTTTTTTTTTTTTAAATCTAAAATTTCTCGAATTATACGTCCCTTAAATTTTTACCCAATTTCTTATTTCTTATTTCTTTCCCATTTTTAGCCCCTCTCCCTAAACAATTCGACAGCTCCCTCGACCCCCTTTTCCCAAACCGTCTGACAACGTCCCTACCCCTACTCCCCTTTGCCCATCTGCTTGCGCCATTCCTTACCTTAGCAGACTGCCACCCTTACCTGCACCCGCCCCTTTGCACGAGTTGCACTTCCCCTGTATGACCCACCCCATTTCACGAGTTGCGACAGAATCTTGATATTTAGTGGGTCGGTACAATCACTAGGCCAACTGATATCTATTTGGAGGCTGAGCTTAGCTAGGTGAGTAAACTCCTTCGTTGAACTTTTGTTTATGTTTAATTTCGTGGTATTATATCAAGCAACTATTTAAGTATAAGCAAAGCGGACTAATATTTCTTACTTTTCCCTTAAAACTTACTAAAGTTTTATTTAGTTTGGGCTAAATATTGTTTGGATGTACTTGATATCTTATTTTTTGTAGTTATTTTTTTGAAGAAATGGCATTGTGGTGTCAAACTAGTTAATATGTAAATATGAAGTACCATATGGTTTCAAGGTTCTCTTGGTTTGGTATTGAAAAATTGATTTTGAAATTACATGTGTTAATTGTTTTATTTTACTGTAATATGTTCCCTTCCATAGATGCTTGCAGGGTAATTACGTAAGCAGATTAACTCTAACTGTATTGGGGAACCTATCTTCACTTCATAACATGTAAGTTGTTTCTCTTGCTAATAAATGTGATCTCGAATGGTAGATAGACCAAGTGTTTTGTTCTTAATTATGCTTGCATTGTTTTATGAATTTGTAGGGATATCTTAAGTAACTCTCAGAGGATCTATCCCTCATTTAATTAGGAAGCTAGATAAGCTCATTCCATTGTTAGTTCCCTTAGTTCAAATTTGTTAGTTTTTAAATAGAAGTGTTTTACTGAGTTGGTTGTTTAAAAAGCTATTGAATATACCTATATTTGATGATCTTATTGAATTTCTTGAAGCAATGTGTCAAACAATTTTTGTTTTGGCCAATACCATCAAAAGGTGTGCATGATAATGTCGAATAAGTCAAAAGTAGCAAAAATGAGCTTTATGTGTTAGTATGGTATATATGGTTGAAGCTGATTGTATCTTATTCCTCGTTTCAGCAATGGAGCTTGCCTTGTCCCTCTGGATAAACTAACAAATGAAAAGCTCTTGAACCTGTACATAGTAAGACTTCCCTTTCTCTTTCTCTCTCACTCTTTCACTCTTCTTGCTATACGATTTTCCTATTTGCACTTTTGACCATTGATTTTCAATGTGTTGAAAAGGTCTAAGGTCTATACTATCATTGATTACGTTTATGAAATCATTGCATAGAACCATGTTAAATAGCCATGTTATTTTACATTTTGGAAGTTTCCAAGATGATAGCAAGCAATTTTCTTTGAACTAATGGTCAAGGCTTTGACAAACAGGTGGCTCAACAGAACCATGATGTGTAGTTGACAGATTTTATTAAAGGCAAATTCTTAGCTGAGCAGGTAAAATACAATTTTGGTGTTTATACTCTTAGAAATTTGTTTTTCATAGATATGTGCCATAACAATAGAAATAATTTCTCATTGTTTTGATCTTGGCTTGATTTCTCTGCAGGTGGATGCCAACAAGAAAATGTTAGAATAAGTGGTTCAGTTGAGAAGGATTTGCAAAGGACATGGTCAAATCTAAACTTTTATTTATTGTAGTTTTCCTTTTGTGAAATGTGTTATTTAGTTGTATGCTACCATGATTTCCTCTTCATGTATTTGATCATGCACTATTAGCATATAGCTCATAGTAAGGGTTTGATAACAACTAGAACTTAATCATAAGGCCAAGAGCATGTTGTGCTCTATTTGGGACCATGTCTTAGGTTATAAGTAAGTAAAGCTCTCTATGAATGGTTTCGTCTTGTGAAAATAAAATTAACTAGTGTAACCTATGTCGGCACCATCTCTCTCCTTTTAACACAAAAACACACACAATTTGTTAAATAAAATGGCTATGACTTGCTATGTGCTTTAGCTAGATTCTAAATGAGATGATGAAAGGGTCATTTCTTTTAATGTTGCTGAAAATTATCATACTAACTTCTACAAACATTTGAATTATACATTGAGCTGCTTCTAACTTCTATGAATTCAACATTCTATATATCAAATGCCAAATATAATACAACTCCAACATATAATGTTAAACCATGCTTAAATTTTCTCTTTAAAATTTGTTCTGCATTTGATTGACTTGCAGTCATACATTTTTCCTTCATCTATAAGATGTTTGTTTGAGCTTTATCATTGTGTAATATGGAGGAAGTTATTGTATATTATGTTGCTTGTTCTCTGTTAACAAAATGTGAATAAAGTGATGAATTCACATGTAATTATCTTTAATGCTATGCTTCTCCATTTTTTTTGTTTTTTGAATTACTAGTGGGGTTCCATACTTTTCTCAAAATTCAGAAACTTCATCAAATTTAGTAAAACATAGTAGCACATGTGCTTTTTGATGCTAAATGCAAACATAAGCACGAGTCATGATAAAGCACGTCAAGCCCATATAGAGAGATTAGAAGGAAGTTTTAATTATTATCATTATTTTGGCTTTGCTAAGTTGCTGACCTATTAGCAAATATAAAAGAAAACTCAATGTCTCAGTTTGGAATGCTCATTTCACTCACGGAGAACCACCATCCACCAATACCACTGCTGAAGACTTGGGGAAGCAGAGAGAGAAAGAGAACATGGTAAGTGAACTGAAAGTAATTATTGATAGGATGGAGGTTGTTATGGTGGGATTGGTGTTGCTTTCGCAGTCTTTTGTGCCCATCAGCTCACCTTTTCTTTGGTTTTAGCCATAATTTTCTCTTGTGCAAATGGGTGTATCCAAGGAGAAAACTAGTTTAGGTTATACAAATTTTTATGGGGAGGATGTGTTGCTGATTGTGGTGATGCAACTTGTGGTGGATGTTCCTCATTACTTGTATGAACCAGAAATCATGGACAAGTTCCATTTATCTTAGTTATTCTGTCTCAAGGCAGTTGTGCTTGCTACTTTGAAAGATAGAATTGCAAACATGGTGCACCAAGTACTAATTATTAAGGTTTATGCAAATTATAAGTGAAGTGAGGCAACTCAGCTGGCTATTGTTAAGAAATACTATAAAGCTGTGCTTCCCTGTAATATGCCTTTTGTCATTTTAGAGAATAATTCCACTTATCATGGAAAGTATTGAATGTCATGACTTATTTAATTTACCATAGGTAGCTATGACTAAATGATCTGACTATACATTAAGTTGGATAGTTGGTTTTCTCATTAATTTCCTAGAGTTAATGACTTCATATAATTATATTGTGAGTGAATATATAGCATGCAATAGACTATAAATGGTCACATTATAAGTTGGTGGAATAACTTTCTGTTCAAGTCTGTCTTTAAAAAAGAAGGTGCATGTTAAGAAAATGCTCTCAGCTCATGTTAGTAGGACATTCTTAAGCAAAGGATTTTCTCTCCTAATCAATGACTTTCATGCCTAACCATCAATTTTCGTGCACTAACTGCTAATTTTCTTGTGTTTTCTATTGCTTTTATTCATTGTTGTATAGATTCTTAGATTTTCTTATTCGATTGATTCTCGTTTGATCTGGGAAGAGTAAGTTCAAGAGGAATGGATTCAAGGAAGCTATCTCCTGGCAAACTTTCTTCTACACAAGGCGGTAGGGAAGAAGAAGGGATTATTTGTGCAGCAAATGGGAGGAGTGTGCAAAAGACTGCAGGAGATTGGAGAAAGCTGTTTGTGGCATTGACAGACCAATTTTTGCAATTTTATCCACCATAGAGAGATAACAGAAAGGTGTTAGTCAAACCTTCAGATGAAGCATTTGAAAAAAGAGTCTATCAAGGGTAGAGCTCGCTGGTGGCACAATTTATAGCTAGGGTCCCTGATTTCAGCCAGTTTCAATGAGCTTGACAATATGATATGGGGGAAAGAGGGGCTTATGAACATCAAACCTGCTGGTGAGAATTTATTCTCACTGTAGTTCACCTCTAAACAAGATCGAAAAACGGTTCTTGAATCAGGCCCATGTCATATATAGAATAAGACTATTAGTAAGGTAGTAAGAGCCAGGCATGAAAACCTTGGAGTTCAGATGAACAGATGACCTATCTGGATTCATTTGGGTAACATTTTGGGTAACATTCCATTAAAGTTGTATACTAAAAAGAGATTGAGCTACAATGCCAGTGCTTTAGGTAATCCATTGTATATGGATAAGATAACGACAAATCAAGAATGGCTTGCTTATGCCAAGATCTGTGTAGATGCTGAGTTGGATATGGACATTCCTTGGTATATTGATGTAATGCTTCGCAATGGCAATATTACTTCTATTTCAGTTGAAGTCCCATGGATGCTGCCAAAGTGCCAGCACTACAAATGATTTTGCCACATAGATAAGGCATGCTTGCAAAAGCCTATCACTTAAGCTATTAAGGTTTGTCAACCAAGTGAAGGAACTACTAAGGAAACTGGAAATGAATCACAAAAAGTGATAAATAGAACAAAATAGAAATTTCCCCTGAGAGGGCTAGGCCAAGGAATGAATGCAATCTAAGGCTGTACCTGCAAACAGATTTGCTATACCGGAAATGGTCAAAAAGTGGGAGAAAGACATAGAGATGAGTCAGAACGATGAGGAGCTGATGGGGAGGATTAAAAGGTTATAAGTTGAAAAGGCTTGTTTGCTGGAGACTAAAGTAAAGCAAAATAATATGTAGCAAGTGGTAAGTACTCATTTTGTAGGATGGTCCAATTTTCATAATTACTTATATGCTTATAAGGGTAGAATTGGGTTGATGTGAAAGTCTGAACTAAAAGTGGACATGGTGGAAGCAAAAGATCAAAGCTTAACGTGTGGTGTGCTATATGGTACTCAAAAGTTTTATTTTTCAGCTATATATGGAAGCAATAATGAAGGTGAAAAAGGAGGTTATGGCCACACTTGCTGTCATTATAAAGCAAGGTTGCTAGTTGGCCATGGATCTTGGCTGGTGATTCCAATTTGGTATCTTATCCTACATAAAGCTTAGATTATAATGGTTCCCAAGTAGCTGGATTAGGTGTAACTGATTCTCAAGAATGCTTGAATAAAGTAGCTACTATAGATCATTCTTTCACAAAACCCTTGTTTACATGAAGTAACCATACTATTTACAGGAAAATGGATTGAGTTTTAATAAATGATTTTTGGTTTACTCAATTGTCAGATTCATATGTGGAGTTTTTGCCTTTTTTTGCCACCAGAAGTATCTGATCATTGTTTAGCCATGACCAATGTGAATGTACTGAGGCAATCCTTTCCAAAGCCATTCAAAATTTTCAACTTCTGGACAAAGCACCAGGATGTTCTGAAGTTAGTTGATGAATCCTGAAAGGAACCGATAAATGATAAGCCAATGGCCATTCCATACAGGAAGCTAGTCCTAAAATTTCAATATTCTGCAATATGGAGCTATTAGGGAAAATTTCAAAGCAAGGAGAGAGGAGTTAGTAGGGTGCAAGTTGCAAATTTAATTAATTCAGCTACAGCAGATGCTAAAATGCTGAACGCATTGTCACTAGAACTGCAAGAATTATTGAAAACAGAAGAAAGCTTGTGGAGGTAAAAGTCCAGAATAAGGTGGTTATAGGAAGAGGATCAAAACACTGACTTTTTTCATAAAATGATGACTTTTAAACAAAAGAACGGGACCGTAAAAGTATTGTATGATAGTGTAGGCAATTGGCTAGAAACATTTACACAGATAAAAAAGGTGGCAGTGGAATTCTTTAACAAGTTGTTGGTTGCGGTTGATACAGAGGTGGAAGGATGTTCTCAAGAGTTACTGCTAGCATACTTCAAGCCTTTCTAACTGAAAAGTAGAAATCTATGTTATCACAGAATGCCACCGAAGGAGAAATACGTAAGGCCATATTCTTGTAGAATAGTGAGAAAGCACTTGGGCCTGATAGGTATAATCCTCATTTCTTTAAAAATGCTTGGAGCATAGTGGGAAAAGATGTCACTGTGGCTATAACAGATTTTTTTTCAGCATTGTGAAATGTTTTCAGCGTTCAACTCAACAGCTATTGCTTTGGTGCCTAAATGTCAGTCTCTAACTAGTATCTCAGAATTTATACCAGTATCATGTTGTTCAATTATTTATAAGGCCATCACTAAAATCATTGCTAGCAGGATGCAGCAGGTGCTGCCAACTTTGATTAACAATAGTCAGAGTGCCTTCATGAAGGGAAGGAGTATAACTGAAAATGTTTTAATAGTGCAAGAGTTGGTGAGAGGGTATGGGAAAACCACTCTTTCATCTAGATGTGCTATAAAAATTGATCTGAAGAAAGCCTTTGAATCTGTGAATTAGGCATTCTTGATATTGGTTCTAGAGAAAATGCAGTTTTTTGAGAAATTTGTTGGTTAGATAAATAGTTGCCTTACTACATTAAAGTACTCATTGTCCATTAATGGTGGCTTAGTTATATATTTTGAAAAAAAACGAGGGAGTCAGGCAAGGGGAGCCAATGTCCCTTTACTTGTTTGTCATTGTAATGAATGTGCTATCTAGCCTATTGGATCTTGCTGCTACTCGTGGTGTTTTCTCCTATCAGCTAAATTCTAAAAAGGTTGGGTTGACACATTTAAGCTTTACTAATGACCTAATTATCTTCACTAGAGGGAACCTAGACTCAATTATTATTATCCAAAACATACTAAAACTATTTTATTCATTTTGTGGATTGCTATTGAATTCTGCAAAAAGTGAATTATTTTGCACAAGAGTATCAAGTGCTGAACTGGAAGAGATACGAGGGTAATAGGGTTCAAGCTCGAAGTATTTCTTGTTAGGTACCTTGGTTTGCCATGGGTCACCCTTAGGCTACCAATAAGGATTGTGCACCATTAATTGAAAAAACTATAGCAAGAATGCAGAGTTGGATGATAAAGCACCTATCTTACGCTAGGAGGCTGCAATTACTTCTGTCTGTGATATTTAGCCTTCACAATTATTGGTGCAGGCATTTCATCCTACGTAAGCATATAATCAAGGAGATCATGGAGCTATGCTTAAGATTCTTTTAGAAAGGCCAAACATGCATTTTGAAGGGGGCCCGTGTTCGCTAGCAAGTCATTTGCAGACCGAAGTCCAAAGGAGGGCTAGGCTTAAAGGAAGTAGAAATTTGAAATCTAGCTTGTGTTCTTACCCTTCTTTGGTTCATTTATACCTAGGCTAGATCGCTGTGGATAGCAGGGATAAGAAGCTATGTACTTAAGGGGAACAGTATATGAGAGATTCCTATTAAGCCAAGCTACAGTTGAGGCATGAAGAAACTGTTTAAGCAGAAGAGTGTCACTTCCAGATTCCTAATGCAGTCAGGAAATGGGGTTGTTGGAGGTTAAGTGATGCAAGCTACTCTGCTGCAAGAGTGTGGGAAAAGATAAGAACTAAGCAACTGAAGGTCAATTGGCATAAACTTCTCTAGTGTACATGGCATATTCCTAAACATGACATAGTACCTTGGATGGATATTCTTAATACGCTTCCTACTAAAGACGGGTTGAAATCGTGGGGAATGACAGTGGATGAGGATTGTGTATTTTGTAAGTTAGAGAAATAGAGCAGGAATCATATTTTTTTCAGTTGCACATACTCAAAAGGCAATATGAAAACATATATTGTAGGTTTGTTTTTTCTGTAATAATACGAATAGCATAGGGAGCTTACATATATATTATCTGGGTAGAGAAGAACAGGTGATTGAATTAAAGTATTAGCATTTTCTTACTCATTTTTAGTGCAATTTCTCTTGTATTTTGGTTTATTCCTTAAGAATCTTCACAAAAGTACTCCTAAATGCATATTTGTCTCATGTGTAGGTAAAAATATAGAAAATGAGAAATTTTGGACAGTTTGGACTCAATTTGGAGAATTTATGGTGGTAAAAGATAGCAGAGGTCACAGCTAGTATAATTGTGCTTCATTGCCTATTATGGGAGTTCTTCTTACCTTTGCTTCTATGATTTCTTAAGCTTAAATGAACTTCATGGAACTTTATTTTAAGTCCCAATTCTCATAATTTTAATTCGGAATTATCTTTCTTAGCTCAATTTTGCATTAGTACATTTCTAGAATCTTTATACATGCTTGAAAGGTAATGCATTATGGAGTTGAAAGTGAATTTTTAGTTGATTAATTTCCAGAATTTTTCCAACCATTATAATGTCAAATTGATTTATTTATGGCTTGAAATTGTGGCAGAAAATTGAAGAGGAAGTGTGTGCATTTAGCACCAAAAGAGAAGGAAGAAAATCCAAGCTTGCACAATGGAAGCAAGGTTTATGTGATCGCATGCATCTTGGCACCACTTTTGCCAATTCAAAGAAGGCCATTAGGAGCTGCTGAGTTGGTGAAATGAAGGCTTCTTATTGATCATTATTTTGATTTCTTAGAGCGCAAAGGTTCATGAGAAGAGGGCTTGAAAACAAGGAAGAGCTTAAAAAGCCAAACAAGTATGCACAAGCTATGAGAGAAGGGAGGAAGAAGGATCTAGAAGAATGTCTATATCTAGATATTTTTGCAAGATATTTTAGGGGTTGAGGCACCTCCCATTTGCATATAAATAAGGGAGAGTGCAGGGTTGTTAGATAGATTTTTAGATTTTAGTTTTAAATTTCTGCATTTACTTTTTTCTACACTTTTATTTTCTTGTTCTTCAAAATAAGGTTGTTTGGCAGCCAATTTTCTCTTATTTTCCATTTAAATTTACTTTTTTTGCATCAATTTTCAATGTATTTCTCACACTTTTGCATTCAATTTCAATTGAATTCATGTGTTCTTCAAATCTATTTTAAAATTTAAAGTTTTGACCTCTTTGTGGTTTTTGGATAGTTCTTGATGAATTTTAGCTTGTTTTTAGCTAAATTTTTTTCTTATATTCCTAACTCGTAGATCTTTAATCCAATTTTTTTTCTTAGATTCTTAACTCATAAATCTTTAATTTTGGAAAAAATTAGCTTCAAATTTCATCTACACAAGTACAGAAAATTCTTCAAAGTCACTACTAAACTCAATCGATAGATTAGTTCTTTGCATCAGTGACAGCATAGCAAGGATCTACTCTCCTTCTTGGCTTTTGGTTTACTTCTTTTTCATTTCACACTCTTAGCTTTACATATTTAATTTTTAGTTTTCAATTGATTGTATTTATTTTCATGAATTTACTTGCCACTTCAACAAATTTCTTTGAATATGCTCTGTTTTTTTTTTTTTTTTCCAGATTTGTGTATTGTTTGCTAGTTCAATGAGTTGGATTTCTTCTTATATGATGCAATTTCTTTATTGAATTTGGTGGTAAACTTGTTGATGAGTCTTACCTTAGCTCAGTTTCAGTTCATTCTCCTTATAAATTTCTAGATCTAGCTTTTTCTTTCCTTGAATTAGTAAATTTCTGATGCAACTTAGTTTCTACATTGATTTGTTTTAGTAATTTCTTGCGATTTTCCTTTAGTTTCTGATCTTTAAATTAGTTTCTATTGCAGTTCTTTATATGCTCTTTTAATTTCCAACTCATGCTCTGTTAATTTTGCATCATTTAGACCTAGATCATTAACTTTAAATTCAATTTCCAGATTTTCTTCACTTTCGGTTTCAACTTGCACCTTGAGTTTTTGCATTTTTTGCTTCTCATTTGAAGTTCAAACTTGTTCTTACTTTAGTTCTTTACTTGTTTTTGCAAATCCAAGTTTGATTTTATGTATTTTGTTGTCATTTGGATCTAGGTTACATTCTTGAAGTGTTGGTTTGTCTGTAGTAGAGTTGTATTTTCGGTTTACAAGTTTAGTTGCAGTTTGCATTTTCATCACTTCATTCTTAATTCAAACTTGTTTTTACTTTGATTTAATCATCGTATTTTACAAATTATAGCATATTTGATTCATCATTTGCAATGTTTTTAGTAGTTTTTAATTTGTTAGTCGAAGTCAGTTAGAAGGTTGTTAGAATTAGTTAGAATTAGTTAATTTGGTTCTGTTTGTTTTAGCTACTGTTGTCCTTGCTCATAATAGTTGCTATTTTTCATTCTTTGATTAGTATTATATCTGAATTCATGTTTAGTTCATAGCATTGATTTTACATATTGTTTTTGTTCATTGTCTCATTTTGCTTAGTTTACATATTGATACTTTATTAGATTTTATTTTCATAGTTAGTTTGATTT